CCAAGTGACCTCAGCCGCTCCTCCTAAGTCTGGCCCTTGAGGCCTTTCACCATATCTTAGTCACCCTCCACTGGACACACTCTAATAGTTTGATGTCCTTCTTACACTGAGGTGCCCAAAACTGCACACAGTGCTCCACGTGGGGCTGCACCAGTGTGGTGTAGACTGGGACAATCACGTCCCTTGACCAGCTAGCCCTGCTGTGCTGGATGCACCCTAGGACACAGTTGGCCCTTTTGGCTGCCAGGGCACGCTCTTGACTAATTTTCAGCTTGCCATCAACTCAAACCCCCAGATCTCTTTCCGCAGTGCTCCTCTCCAGCCTCTCGTACCGCAGTTTGAATGTATAACCAGGATTACCCTGTCCCAGGTAGGGAATTCAGCTCTTGTTAGATTTCACATGGTTCGTGATTGCCCAGCTCACTAAGTCTATCCAATCTCTCTGTAAGGCCTCTCTGCCCTAGAGGGAGTCCACAGCTGCTCCTAGTTTCGTATCATCCACAAACTTTTGTACATTTGATTCCTGCATCCAGATCTTTCTTTAAAAAAAAATTAAAGAGCACTGGCACTGAAACTGAGCCCTGGGGAACCCCACTGGTAACTGGCCATCAGGCTGATGTAACTCCATTTACTATAACTCTTTGAGCCCGACCCGTCAGCCAATTACTCACCCAACGTATTATGGACTTGTCTAGCTTTGTGCTGGACATTTTTTCCAGAAGGAAATACTGTGACAGACAGTATCAAAAGCTTTGCTAAAATAAAAAAAACCTGCACATCTACTGGCTTCCCTTGGTCAACTAGATGGGTGACCTTGTCATAAAAGGAAATTAAGTTAGTTAAGCAGGACTTTCCCCTCATGAGCCCATGCTGGCTATGACCAATGACTGCATTGTCTCTCAAGTGCTTTTCAATAACTCTCAGAATGACCTTCTCCATTATTTTACCAGGCACTGAAGTGAGACTGACAGGCCTGTAATTACCAGGGTCTTGCTTCTTACCTTTCTTGAAAACTGGGACATTTGCCAACTTTCAGTCATGGAATGGTTTGAGTTGGAAGGGACCTCAAAGACCATCTAGTTCCAACCCCCCTGCCATGGGCAGGGACACCCGCCACTAGACCAGGTTGCCCAAAGCCCCATCCAACCTGGCCTTGAACACTGCCAGGGAGGGGACATCCACAGCTTCTCTGGGCAACCTGTTCCAGTGCCTCACCACCCTCACAGTAAAGAATTTCTTCCCATACATTCTTAATTTTTGAAGTCCAGTATATTCTCTACCTAATTTCACAATGCAAATCTAAATATCGTTCTGACACCAAATATGTAGGCAATGCTATACTGTTAGCAGTAGGAGATTTAAGATAAAACCACTTATGCATCCTGGCTGTCTCTTCTCGTGGCAAAGTAATTTTAATGATACAGTTAAGAATAAATATACAAAATATATATGGAGAAATATCCTAAGGAGAGGATCTAAAAAGGTAAAGGCTTCAGACTTGTAAAAGACACAAATAATCTCACAGTAGCCACTTGCAGAAGGTACCATAACAATAAAGAGACCTTAATAAATGGTCCTCAAACCATTTCATCTGCAGGATAAACCTCTCTGAAGGTTCCATTAAAAAGCACATAGCTAAGATAAACTACAGTGAGGCATATACATTTTTATTTACTACCACTATTAATTCTTAACTTTCAGGAGATACTTAGTTCTTCCTTTATAATTCTTTAAGCTGCGTTTGACTGTCAGGCTGTGATGTGCACTTGTGAGCTTATCTGATATCTCATCTTTAGGCAAACTTAAACAGAACCACTATGGAATTCCCTGTACTTACAGACAACTCTCCATTGCTTAAATGAGTATCAGGAAAAAAAGAAAAAAACTACTGGCTCTCCCATTTTGTGCTACAACTGAACAAACTCCCTTTAATTGTCACCTGTTCCAAAGACCTGCACAGGTGCTTGCACCAGTTTTGTTTTGCTGTCAAATCCTGCAGGGCCGACACGTGCAACTGAACATAAACCCATTCTGAGCAAGACACGTGGTAGCCATACGGTACTACTCGTGGGTCCCAGCGGTCAAATCACAGCACATCCTCTCATACTGGCCAGGCACAGAGCTATCTAGGTCAAACTGTACTTAACCATCTCAGGCTTTGTCCTCAGCGAAGTGGCCGCACTATAGACAGCTACCTTTGTCTTTTGATGCAGTTTTTGTAACACTCATGAAGAGCTGTACTTGAGCTAACTAACATCAGCGGCTGGGATAACCCATGTGGGGAAAAATGAGTGCTGACAGTACACATCATTCAATTGTAACTACATTCTGCTCAAGATCACTTGATCACACTTCCAAATCTACTGCTCAGTTAAAAAAATACTTATTTTTTTCTCATTTGGCTGTTACCTCTTTTAAGGAGGGGGTATCCCTTGTTTCTAATCAAACAGATGCAAATGGCCCAGTCAATGGTACAAAGCCAAACAAAAAACAGAGTCTTCCATCAAGCTCCATTTTGCTCAGGAAGGAACAGTCAGCCAGCCATCACAGGGCCTGGCCCTGGCCCATGTTCTGCTCTTGAAAGAAGCATCAGTTATACGCTGGCTGAGCGTGCAGGCTAAGTGGGTGTCTCTTCTTAGCCCTTCCCTCCTACGAGACAGCCTGCTGTACCTGTGGACCTGATGGAATTAGCAGTTTGGCCCTTTCCTGTTCAATGAAGGGTTTATACATCTCAACATCCATTCCTTCCCATTGCTACGGAATTGAAGAAAAACAATCTTATATGCTATGGATTACTGTGCGAGTAAAATAGAAGGTGAGGTCAGTCACCAAACGGGCTCCCCAGGGCAGTGGTCACAGCACCAAGCCTGTCAGAGTTCAAGGAGCATCTGGATGATGCTCTCAGTCATATGGTTTAGTTTTAGGCGGTCCTGTGAGGAGCAGGGAGTGGGACTCAATGATCCTTATGGGTCCCTTCCAATTCACAGATATCCTATGGTTCTATAAGTACAGTGGAATATGACAAGTATACTACAAGCCATATTGCCTTTCTGGCACAGTACGCACAAATCGCCTATTTTTCCCAAGCAATAAATGACTTAAGACATTTAAAATGGATGCAAAACATTTGTATTTTTCAGGTTAATGCAAATTTTACTCCTTGTTTCTAATAACATGGGAGGGAGAGGAAGCAGAACAACAGAAACACATAAGCAAAACCAATGTATTTTATTTTTATCAAGTTAGTATTTGATTTTTAAAGAGTCACACAAAACAACTTCAGAGAACTGCACCTTTTATAGTTTCCCATTAGTTATCCTGGCTACTGAAAATATAAAAAAACATTTCATACTTGTTTTAACCTGAAGCTCTTGTAGTTAATAGTTTTTGTAAAGTTCAGCCTCTGCTGTAACTGAACACCACAATCACAAGCATCAAAAAGTTCTAGGTGCTTTCCATATTAAGATAGTAATGTCAGATAAACAATCACGCAACAGTACAGCACTGCAAAAATATATCAATACATTCTGATTAGAAAGATCCTACCTGAAATTTAGGACAGTGCTTGTACATAAAAGCCCATAAACATAAAGCTGTCAGCAAAATCAGTAAATGGTTGAATTATGTCAACAGTTGTATTAAATAATATTTAGTAGACTAATATACCATACCATATGAAAATAACTCTTTAGAAAGGTTATAGTGGATATATTCACTGAATACTTTTGTATTACAGCATTCATACTATGAATGGAACTGTTTATGGCAGGGGCATTTTCTTTGGTACAATGCACTTAAAATGAAAGCAAGCTGGCCACAGGTATGTAAGGCAAGTGTGTATGAAGGCAGACTCGTAACAGTCCGTGATGGCAATGACAGTAATCACTGCACCGTATGTGTACAGATCATACTTAAAAATTCTTCTTTTGCAGCATGCAGTAACAAGAGGTATTTTCCAAATCCCTTAGTAAGAAACTGCAACTCCTATACCTCCAAAAGCACACTGTGAATCATTGCTTCCTCAAGAGAAATTATCAATATTGTTTCTTCTATCATCGGTATTACATAAAGCTGGAACTGAAAAACAAAAGCAAGCATATAAACTGTAACATATTCTGAAGAAATAAAGCTAAAACAGAGAAAACAAAACTAAAAACTTTCTAAAGTTGAGAGTTACTCATAATAGTGCAGATAATGATTTCTGTTACCAAGAATTCCACTGTCATATATAAATCCAGAAAAAGGAGTCTAGGAAAAGGAACTCAGTAACATTACTTGAAATGCAATAAATTTTGGCAAAACCACAAGCAGGCTTCTAGCAAATACCCCAAAAATGCCAAAGCTGTCTTGATATTTGTGGAAACATTTGCACCCATCTAACTTCTAAAGTTTTTCATGATCTAGCAGTTATGAATAATTTCTGTACCAAAAAAATCTGCTTTCAATTGCAGTAATATATTAATCAACAAAATGTTATCTGCAGCAAAGTTGTAACCTATCAGGGAAGGTTAATTGACTTCTGATTTTGGAGGAGAAAAAAATAATTAAATTTAATTTAATGTTTATATATGAACATTTAATTCAATGTTGATATATGAAGAATTTGGGCATGTTATTCTGGAGACTACTTTTGAATACATCTCTGAAATTTCTCAATTTGAGCTTTACTTTTGGGAGTGGAGAAAGAAAGAAGTGGGTGGGAGACAATAAAGTGAAATGTTTATCAGATCACATTCTGCACTCGGTGAAATTTTACAGCAAATTTTATCGATCTCTCCTCTCAAAAGTCTACACTAGGAAGACACATCTAGTATTACGGGACAGCAGCAGTCAGACTGCTTCATAAAGCTACGATATCCTACATTCAAAACCTGAGTGCTGCAAGCAAATACTATTTCTGGAATTCCCTGGGTGAATTTCTGTCCCTCTCTAACTTCTCCCTCTCATTCTGTTCGTGAACATTCACAATTTCTTCATCTCTGACATCAAAGCACAGGAGTTCAAGTCGAAAACCTTGGGTCCTTCATGGAAAAAGAAAAAAGAAAAGAAAGAACGCTCATAGAACATACAGCAATTACTCTAAACATAAATCCAAGCATGAGTATATTTTACACACTTCTGTCTTCTTATAGCATAACAGAATAGGAGCATGTTTGTATCTTTTCTAAAAGATTACTGAAATTTGTGTTATAAAAGTGATATGTGAAGAATTTTTTTATTGCTGCCTCTGATGACTAGCATTGGCACCTACTTTTTGCGGTCCTTGTCTCTTTTCAAACTAACAACAGGGGTAGAGACAGATGCTTGTGATTGGAGTAATTCAGCATTAGCTTTCTTCTCAATAAATATAGCTATTTCATCTTCTAGAACTTTTTTCTTTTTCTCTAATTTCAGTTTCACTTCTTGATGCATTAGCATTCGATGTTCAAATTTAGTCTGTATCTGTTTAAAGAAAGCACAAAAAATAGTATTTCCAACTAGTAACACAAGGTGGTGATATCACAATACAAAACCCCTCTGCAATTAAACAGTAAAACCTAACTCGTGTCAAAAGTCATAAGAAATTGCAGTTCTTTCCCCAAACTGATCAGACTAAATAACAGCAATCCAGAAAAGTAATCATTCATATCAGATTGTTCTCATAGAAGCCAGGTTACTACACACAAAGTACAGGTGGAAACCATGGAAGGCACTAAATGAATATGAGATTTCCTACTAGATTTTACTCTATCTTTATTATATCAAAAATAAGGAGGCCTTTAGAGAGGAAACAATTACCAACAGAAGGATTAAAATACAATCTGCCAATTAGAATCTACTTCCCTAAAACCAAGTGGGCAAGGAATAATACATATTTCAGTTACACAGGCATGTATTTTCATATATATATATAATTTTAATATGTTTATTAATTACATTTACCTATCAGTATGCACACACACAATAAGTCTGGTTGGGGGAGTTATTTGCAGGCTGCAAGAAGTTAACTGCTTTTCTGCAGTAATTGTTCTTTGATTGTTCTTTTGACATATTAATGGATTTTACTCTCCAGATGCATTTTGACCAGCTTAAACCTACTGTGAAGCTGTCCATGACAACCAGTGGGTATTTCACTCCACCCTTCCTCACCTCCCATCTCCCCACACACAAACTCTCCTAGAATCCTGCTTCTGTATCCATCTGTATTGGTGTAAGTCGATCTGAGTGCAGCTATACTGGTATAGAAATCAGAGAGATTTATTTCAATCTTTTGCAGTAACTAAGAAATAACTAAGATTATAAATGTAACAGTATGCCTGTTCTACTCAGTAGAGCTGTAAGATTTTATAAATGTGTGTGTGTATGTATGCATACTATTCATTTATTTATTTCATTTGCAACAGTTAACCAGATGCATTGCAAAACCAGGCATATCAGTAAAAACATTCAGGGTAGTAAGGTCCTAAGCGACTGTACGTCTCAGGAGTGGTAACACTGCATATTGCACTTGTAAGTTTCCTCTAAATGAAGGATGTGAAAGCAATCTTAAGTACAACAGAAATTCCTGGTTTCCCAGATTCACATACATACTTCTAAGAGAAGGAGCAGTAAGATCATATGACAAATGTTCTTTAGGAGTGACTGCATGATCACTTTCCCACATCAGGAAGTGGGAAAACAAATATCCATAATTCAATTGCAATATGGAGGGCTCACAAACCACCTGGTATATATCACAGAAGGAAAACATCAAAGCGTACCACAGATACTGTTTAAGACCTAGCTGAACTAACTTTGAACATGGCCAAGTATTCTTCCAATTGGATAGCCTCATACTGAGAAGGATTGAACCTGATTTTTTTCTCCACAAGTAGCATGGGGGACTTAACAGATTTAAAAACAAAGTATTAAGCCTTTTTATTTAAAATATGCATCTGAACACCTTGCAAAAGCATCTTTGCTGAGACACTGAGGTACAGAAAAGAACATTAATAAATATACACAAGTTTCCAATTTCAATTAAACCAGTGTTTGAAGATAAATACACGTGACCATGAGAGAGTCTGGCAGAAAGTAGATGAGAAGATCCCAGTCCAGCGTGACTGGACTAAATCTTCAACAACATATTCAAGAAATGTTCCACATGTCCAAATATTCTTAAAGCAGCTGGGAATAGATGAAATTTTAAAAACAAAACAAAACAAAACAAAACCACCCTCCCACACACACTTTCAAACCTCTCAACATGAGGGTTGAGCTTATATTAAATAACTGAATCTGGAGGTCATACAAACATACATGCCCCACTCTCTTGGGCTGAAAAACAACCCATGGGATTTTTTTCGTGAAATCCTAGCTTTTACAGAGCAAACTATGGATGAAAAGTGCCTACTGTGCTGCTATGGCATACTGATGTTTACCAGCATACTGTAGAGAAAACGAAGAAACATGCAACCATTACATTCATCGCTCTCTTACTTCACTATATCACCTCCTACTCTGTTGATTTGTCCCAGCTATCCACCAAAGCCTTTAGACCATAAGCTCTTTCCTTCCAAATAAAGACTGCCATTTATAGAATCATAGAATCATTTAGGTTGGAAAAGACCCCTAAGATCATTGAGTCCAACCGTTAACCTAGACTGCCAAGTCCACCATTAAACCATGTCCCTAAGGACCACATCTACGCATCTTTTTACTACCTCCAGGGATGGTGACTCCACCTCTTCCCTGGGCCACCTGCTCCAATGATTGACAACCCTCTTGGTGAAGACATTTTTCCAATATCCAACCTAAACCTCCCCTGACATAACTTGAGGCCATTTCCTCTTGTCCTATCGCTTGTTACTTGGGAGAAGAGACCAACATCCACCTGGCTACAACCTCCTTTCAGGTAGTTGTAGGGAGCAATAAGGTCTCCCCTCACCCTCCTTTTCCCCAGGCTAAACAACCCCAGTTCCCTCAGCTGTTCCACATAAGACTTGTTCTTTTGTCTCAAGACAGACATGCATGCCCACCTGTTGCTCTGCTTCTTTCAATATTGCTTCTTTCTCCTTCACCCTCTGCACAAACTGTTGTCTCATCTCCTCCTCTTTTCTTTGCAGTTCAAGGTAGAACTCGTTCCTCTTTGCCTCATAGGCTTCCTGTAGACTGAAGTCCAAAAATGTAAGCAAGTCTCCAGCATGCTGCTTTATTCAATGTAGAAAACCAACAATCTGGAACATTATTTAAACAATTAATATTCATCTGAAATATTAATTTATACAGTTCCTCACATTAAAAAATTATAAACAAACCTAAACAGAAGTAAGCATCTTTTAAATTTTTAATAATTTACCTTTTTAAATTTTTATTTAAGTAAACAACCCTGAGTAAAATTATTTATACTAACAGCTCCCGGGCAATTTACATTTCAAAGTAAATACAGCACTTTAGGAATCTCATGTTCTAAAAGACTTGAGTTGTAACTTTCTGCTTCCAACACACATAACCCTTTTTATTTAATTTACTTATTAATAAGACACTGAAATTGCCAGAAAAATCTCCTCAAATTTCCATGTTGTAAAACCTCAGTCTTAAAATAGGACATTACAAAAAAAATGCATCTAGAGCATTAACACAACTAACAAACTGATTATTCCTATATGAAAAGGAAGGAAAATAACAGGATCTTCAAAACACATAATACTTATGTTATGTAATGTCAAAATTTAAACATGGCAGGGTTAGATTTATATAGAATAAACACAATTTCCCAAGTAGTTCAACATCCAAAGGATAGGGTTACCTTCCAACATTCATCAGTCAAAATCTAAAGACTGCTTATTTTTTCCTGAATTGTCTCTCCCAGAAGCTAATATCCTGCATACATACCACACTTGTATTTGAAACTATATAGGAGGTGTAAATTAGTTCAAATCATTGGGCAAATAGCAAAACAGCCAGTAATTAAAACATTTCTTTACTTTTAAATCTACGCCTCCCTTTTTTTTTTTTTTTTTTTTTTTTAAGTTCCTCTACTATACCTTTCAGTACACAGGATGATTTTCTTCCTCCAAACGACAGGTACTTGAAATTCAGAAACTTCTTTCATATCAAAGCATATCATAGCAAATTAAAAGATGCTGGTAATTTATTCATATACTACTAGAGGTTTGCCATTTGCAGGGTCTATACTACCACTGCTATCACCACAGCGCTGGCAGGGAAAGTTTTGCTTTTCAGGGAAAAAGGAATGGAGCTTGTACACAGATGTATCCCACAGACCAAAGAGCACACTAGCTTGAAAAGCATACCTGCTTAATGACAGAAGTTCTTCCAGCAAAACTTTTACCACAAACTTTTCTAAGTCACAATATTCCAGAGAGGCAAAACTGGTGGATCAGAGCTGTGCTAATCGTTATTACAAAAACAAAAGGATCTGTCCAGTATATTGTAGGACATACTCTAGCTCTTTATTCTGGGGCTATTCTCTCATACCATTCATCTCTTCTAACACTTCCTGAGTGCGCACTAGTCAGCCCTTCTCAGCTGTCATGAGTTACTGTCCTTTGCCAGGTACCTCATGCCTTCCACTCTGATGTAAAATAAATATATATCAAGTATTTAAATTTGCTTTATATTTTTAATATGCATACACACTTTTGTACCAGTTTTTAAGTCTCAGCTTTTACTGTTTCTATTAAAACAGTTTATAAATGTAAAGACTTACAAAAAAGGACATCTAAAAACTTAATTATTTAGAGCAACAGTAAGCTTAAACTCTCTTGAACTCTCTCTTCTATATTTAAATTTATGATGACTGGGCAGTTTCCCAATCCTAAAGTTTCTTATTTGTACTCAAAATATAATCTAAAGAGAGAGAAGAATGGTCGTAAAATTGCACATGTAGACTTAATGTTTGTCAGAGCTCAAGGTCAGAGCACTTCTCCTATCTTATTTGAGCAACACATTGCAACAAAACAAACTCAGAACAACCACCTTTTTGGGCTTGGTCTGCTTGAGTTTTTTTATCAGCTGTGAAGTAACTTAGGTCATCCTGAAATTGTTATCTACCACGTGAAATGAGGGCATGGTTTTCACACAGGTATATCAATTCACACTATCTTTAAGTTTAGAGAGCGTAAGTAATAACAGTAAAGCTACAGCACAGGTTTTTCAAGTGCTAGCGATCTCACTACACACAGTTTTGGGCCCTGTGTCAGTTCTGTTAGCTAACATGCTGCCTTGGGGTGCAATAAAGCGGCTAGAGCGAGTGCTAGAGTAATCTAACATGCCGCATTCGCACCTTCATTTCATTATGTGAACATCTTTAGACTCAACCTAAGCTAGTTTATCAGGTAAAACCAATTTTGTCATGAAATTAGTAAAAGATTGACTTTGAAGACACTGGATTTACTAAGTAATCAATTTACATGTATAAGGAAGAGGAGAAATAAAAGTGTATTTTTAAAATCCCCTCCTCCCCCTGGACTGAATTGTTCTGGAAATCACAAACTTTCCTCTTCTGTGTTTGGCATATCAGCAACATAATGATCCAAACAGTCTTTGGTTGTCAGAGGTTTGGGGAGGAGGGGAAAACAGTTCACCAGATCTTAAGCCAATCCTTTCAACATTACTGCACCCATTGCTCACAGTAAAATCCTATTTTTTTCCAGTTTACCTGAAGACTGGTTTCACTGCTTCTCATATAGCACATTATGAAAATCAAATTCATGGGTTCTCTCATTCTTCTGGGTTGGATGTCTATAATTTTATACTCTGTACAAAACCACTTGCAAAATTAATATGTTAAAGATAATTATTTAAATAATGTATTCTTACTGAGGTTTTGGAGGAAGGAAAGGGATTGTGAAGAAAGTCTACACCTTACTAATCCATTACATACCTCATAACAGCACTACCACCTACCTTTCTACAGAAGCATAGTTGTGACATACAGTTTTTCTAGCTGCATAAGACTTAGAACATGGAAGCCTAAATACAAAGATGCAAATCAAACATGTTATGTTCATAAATAAAGGCTCTGACTGAAGTGAATTCAACTTTCAGGGGAACACAGTGTTTGTGCACTTTGAACAACAGTTATTTACACAATATTTTACAGTTTGTTCATTTAAATTTAAAAAAGCTTTCAAATTTGAAAACTACACTTGTAACTTTTTGCATAACATTTGACTATCAATTAAGGTATATCAGAAAAACTAAAGAATTTAAAAGTTAACTAGTGGCAGGTATTTTTAGCATGGTCCCTTGACTCAGTGAACTACCTAAGTTGATATTAAGCAACACTAAGGATGTGGTAGATCAAAATAATTACCATTTTCCCAGGGGAGGCATGAAAACCAGGTATTTTGGATGTGGTTCAGTCTTACCATAAGGTTAAAATATTTAGCTCAAATGCAAAGGTCTGCAGTTGGTCAGATGAACTCCATTCCCAAGTGACTTCTTAAGGAAGAAGTCTAACAGCCTTTCAGATATTAGGTTTCCTTTCTCAGAAAGGACAACTAGAATCATATCAACCTTCCTCTACATGTAAACTTATTCACATTACTGAATCCTTCCTGTTTTTCTCTCATCATCCTCAAAATAGACTGAAAAATAAACATGTTTTTGTTCAAGAACTGCAAGGTCTGAATATCCCAGTTTCAGGGTAGAATAAAGCATGGAATATATGATTGTTCACATATTGAGAAACTGAGATGTTTACGTTACAATTACGTTTAACTGCAATTAAGAGGAAGAACAAATTGTAATCATGAGCACAGAAAAACAACTAAACAAGAGAATGGTTAACATCATAGAATCCAAATATGCAAGCATATAGCCTGAACATCAATCTTCAGCTTTCTTCAACAGACCCTTGCCTACTAGTTTTCTTCTTGCAAAACAAGAATGTCCCCTTAAGCCATGACATAGCTTAGACTGGAAAACGGACTTACAAAATGTCCAACTTCAAAACACTAGTAATCCTCTCCTCCCCTGCAAACATCTAAGCTTACTAGGGTAAGCTAGTATCGAAGTTCGGCTGGAAGCACTCTTCATGTCTAGATTCCTGGTTTCAACTATCCCACATTTTTCCATTTGGGACATCTCAGCAATTATCTCTTGCTCAGAATGACCTGAAACTAGGAATTCATGTTCCTAATGGACATAATTGGACCATCAAAAAGGCAGGACTGGACCACCCCCACAAAAAAATGGTCTATCTTTACTTTTGAACAGCAAATAAAGGGAAATCCCGATTTTAAGTATTAAAACATTATAATAAAAGCACTTCCTGGATTTTACATCCAACAGACACTGCATAAAATGCAGGAACCATCCCCCCAAATACTCTGCTATCCATTGACTTCGTTACATAAATTTTGCCATAACAGGCTTTCCAAGCCCATTCCTGACTGGCTGCTTTTCGTGGCTTGGAAACCAAATTATACCTATATGACTAAGTTTTGCCTTGGATGGTATTCCATTTATTCCCTGAAGTACCATATGGTGGATTCTTTATTTTTAAAGTGGTGTCTCACATATTATATTTTAATCTGATATGGCATACACATGACTGATTCGCATGACCTTTTGGAATGATACCCCAGTACAAGACTGAACTCTTCATAAAAAAGTTTTGTATATTGTTTTTGCAAGGTGTATGAATGAGATTAAGTTCATTCCCAATTATCCATTAATTTAAGTCATGCTAATCATTGTTATCCAATTTAAATAAATAATGGTTTGATAAAATGCCAGTATAAGCCATGTGTCCTGAAAGCAGCAGAATTAAGAGCCCAAATTCCTATGGATAATTTTATGTTCTATTCTCTCATTGATTGCAATACCCAAAGTCCTGCCTACGTCCTTGTACCTTTTTAACTACACAATTATCATCCCTCCATACTTCCTAAATATTCTTTACTCATTGTGAGTATTTGCGTGGCTCTTTCACGTGCAGTAGCCTTGGCTACTTCCAAATTACCCAGGACCTTCTTATGCTACTGCAGTACTGCCAAGCTCCCAAGAGTTTCAAAAGACAGTACTTCGTTCAGAGGTAATGATTTACTGACAAGGAATGCACATTGGCTGGCCAACAACTGGTAGGAGCAGAGGTCTTTCTGCTTTTCCTGCAGTGACAACACTAACCATGTAATCCCTTGGCAGCATCCAACCCTTTACTGAAGTTTGAAAATGAAGACCTGGTTCATAAGTTATTAGGGAGAGACTAACAGACTGATCACGTAAAGTTCATTTCCCTGGAAATCTGGTTAATGAAAAAGTTAATTGTTAGAATCCAACTGGAAATAAAAAAATTAGAAAGTTATTATGACACAAATTCACAAAAAAATATAGGATTAGGGAATAGGTATTTTTAAAAGTGTACACAAGACAGTCACTTCAGACTACTACTATCTTTATTTTCTCCCCTTACACCTAGTAATAAAGATACAAATATATTTTTCCATTGTATGCTGAAACCATCTCTTCCCATGTCTCCCATAAAAAATAAAGCTTGCCTACATGTTTTTTCACATGTAAGAGTGAAAGCCTTTACAGATGTCTGCCCACAACCTACCTCACAAGGTAGCTGAAAATCCAAGAACTACTGGTTTTGCTTTGCAATGGCCTACAGTTTTGGATGAATAAACTACTGTTGTACTTTTAAATCCAAAAGAGTGGTACAGGAACTTCACAGGCAGCTTTTTCACAACATGCCAAAAGGCAGGGCATGCTAGGTACTCGAGTGTTAATATTCAAATGCTACAAACTCCAGTGCAATAAAATCACCTAATTATTCAAGTCTAGCAGAAATTTTCTAAATTTACATACAATAACCCAATTAGGATTACAAAATTTAGTATGTACACAGCTACATCACAAGCACAACATATGACTTCTCAACATGCACTTTGATCATTATTTACACAAGTAGCATAAAATTTTAATCATCAGTCATATACTGCTATGTAATCTTAACTATACTTTAAAACTATAGCTCTTACAATCCACGTGTATATATTGTAAACATCTTTAAGGACAAAGAGGATGGCAATTTAATAACAGATTTTTGCCCAGAAGAACAGGATAGTTCCTATTCTGAAAGATATTTAAATTTACAAGTCAGCAAAATGGGAAGCAGAGAACTTCCTCTACGGAAAGAGACGTTTTCTATCACACTGCTGAGGATGACACTTTTAATCGTTTCCTCAGTAGCTTCATAAAACACCTTATGGGTAAGGCTACATTAGTCTACTAATTACACTACATACAGTAGTATGTAAATTCTCTCCCCTTTTTATGCTATCATACAACATCCCTCCCAAAGGACCAAATGTCTTCTCTTTCAGACCTCAGTGTCATTCACTATGCCACATAACCGAGGGACAACTACACATCCTAGATCCAGTCCCACTTTTCTCTTCCTGTCACAGTGAATCTGGGAAAAGTTAATTTTTCTAGATTCTTATGGAATACCTATTCTCATCTTTCCAAAACAATGACATTTTCAATAGATGCAATTTACCAAAACTAACTATTAAGTGTATTGTCTTGCCACAAAGCTCTCAATAAAATGACATTTAGTTGGCCATACATAAAAAACTACACACCAGAGGGAACTTAGCTTTTCTGTATCTCCACGAAGCAATCCATTTCTAAACCAACTTCTGAAGCGTAAAATACTATGACATTCTGATACAAACCTCCCACTTTATACCATCAGTGTTTGGGGGTTTTAAGACGACACTTTTTGTGTTTGTGGAAGAAAACAATTTTGTGCATGACTTTTATAATTTAACACTTATCTTGAGATGGCCATACATTGTGAAATTCAAGTTCAGAAAAGCCAAAGGTACTGCAATCAATATTGCCACGATCAAATCTCTAAAAAAAGCTTTCCCTAAACAAAGATAACAAAATATCAGCTGTTAGTGTATGTTCTTAAACTTAAACCTAATCCCAATGAAAGGTCTATGGTCAGTTTCAGCTGGTTTTAAACCTCATTCACCTTTGGTTCTCTATTTATGAAAAGGATTTATTCCTTTATTGTTAAGTCAAGATAAATGTCAAAAGATCACTGCGATTCGTGGTCAGCTCAAGATCATCTAAATGAACTACTTTGAAATGTGCCTTGACATTAAGACTTCAGAAAGAAGTGCCCACATCCAGCATCTTTCTTGGCCACGTTAATCTTATTTAATTATTATTGTTTGAACAATATATAAATTAGACCTAGTCAAAGTGAAAGAAATGCTGTTCCATCAACACTCTACAAGTTACAGTAACTCCAACTGCCTTAGAACTTCTGTGCAAAGTACAAGTGAAAGCAAAGAATTTAAGCCACTAAAACCAACTCTTTGGAGGGAAGCCATTTAAAAGTCATTTATTTTTATCAGAACAGAATGGGTAAAGACAGTCTGATCACTAAGTAAAACAAGAAGTAAACAAATCAGTTGGTTCAAAGCACTAGAAACTGCTTTTAATGCAAAGACATATTTAGTTTACATGTCTGGTTTAAGCCAGTATTTCCCACCATGACTATGCAATAATAGCACTTTGCTAAACTGTGAAGGCTTGAACAACTCCTGAAGCATCAGTTCTTCCCCATCAGGATTCTAACCACTTACAAAATACAATCTCATGCATAAAATGACCAAAGGAAGCTGGAAGAGGGAGAGGGAGATGACAGAATTGGAAATAAAAGATTAAACAAACTGGATATAGAAATTGTAAATACCTCCTGCATAAAGCAGCTTTACTACATGAAACAACTGAGTGTCTCTAACCCTCTGCCTAACTTTTCTTTGGAATCCTCTATTAACTTCCTACAATCTAGCAAGAGATTTCTTGACCTGAAAAGGCTCGATGTTTGTTATTATGACAGATAATGTGGGAAGCCAACAGTGTAACCAATGATTTTTTAAAAGTTTTTGCTTCAGTTCCTTCTGAACTTTGAGTCCAACCAAACCATTGCTCAGAATCAGACATTATTAAGAGACAAAGTAAACCATCATGCTAATATATAATGAAAATAATTTAAAAGGCATAAAGTGCATATACTTGAAAAAAATTTACATTCTCCATGACAAAAATTAAAATCCTCAGGTTTATTCTAAAAGAGAAAGATTTCAGAAATACAACTAGCTTGTATGCCTTTAAAAGCAATGCTTATATAATCCCATATACTTCTCCATGAAGATAACTGAAGGAACAGCTACATCCTTACTCTGATTTAAAAAAAACCTAATTCTTTCCCTCTTAGAAAACCTATTCTGTGTATGAACCCTGCTCTGTACTGGGTTGACACAGTCAAATGTGAAGTGAATGGATGCTGAAAGCGAGTGCTGCACATGAAGTCCTTTACCTGACTGGTTTGTTCTCAGGGCCAACGTCTCTGAAGCCCATCTCTTCCAGTCTGCAGCGTCTGTACAACTCATAATGTCGTGCATGAGTCTGCTCTCTTAAGTCTTCCATATTTGTGCAAATAAGCATCTCGCGAAGCTTTACAAAGTCACAGTGGTTCTCATTTTCCACTAACCAGTTAAAAGAGTAAGATTTTATTATTATGTACAAGTAGCAAAATTGTCAAAATATATTTTAAACAGCACTGAGATTCATTTGTTTTGTTTACTAATTATCCTTCCAGGAAAAGGTATCTCATTGTTTATTATACCTCTTACACTTCCCTATAATTTCTAATATACACATTGAAGCACTAACTGTAAGTGCTGGTGAACGTGTTCCAACACATCTTGATTTCCTGTTTGAGTTGAACAATGGTAAATTTCTCTTTTTTTCCCCCTCTTCTTTACTGACAATCATAAAACTTTGAAATCTGGGAGTGTTAGAGGCACTGCCACCATACTAACCTACCCAAATATTACATACACCATCTCATAGCTTGATTCCAGGGATGCATCAGTGCTGATGAAACTATCAATTTGTGCACACCTGAAGTATTAATCGCTAAACTCCTTAAACTGTTGATCCAAAATACAATCAATATGGCATCAGTGGATAATACCAGTCTCTTTTAGTATTGGTGAATTTTATACTTCAGCAACAACAAAAAATCTTGTAAAAATATCTTTGAGAATTCGTTTACCTTGTACAACGCCCCACGGGTACTGACGAGCTCTCACCATTTTGTTTCCAACTTTCACCTCTTCCGTACTTCCTACTACAGCAAATGGCAAATGCCCCTGTAAGAGTCACACCAATACAGTCTTATCTCTCAGCATTCTTATGTCAGAACTGAAAAGCAAACACTTCAGAAATAAATTAGGGGGGAAAACCCCACAATTTCAGGAAAAGCCAACAGGCAGTTTCAAACAAAAAAACACTTTGAAGAGATCTGTAGCTAGTCAAACTGATAGAAACTACTGATAGAAAAGTCAAGCTACAATAACAAAACCAGGAGGAGCGGTTGATAGACCAGATAGGTGTGCTGCCAATTCAGAGGAACCTGGACAGGTTGGAGAAATGGGCTAACAGGAGTCTCACAAAGTTCAAAGGAGAGCAATGCCAAGTCCTGCACGTCAGGAGGAATAACCCCACACTCCAGCACATGCTGGGGGCCGACTGTCTGGAAAGGCACTTTGCAGAAAAAGACCTGGGGTTCCTGGTGGGCAACAGGTTGGACCTGATTCAGCAGGCTTGCCCCAGTGGCAAAGGCGGCCGACTGCATCCTGAGCTGCATTAGGAAGAGTATCAGCAGTAAATAGAAAGCCACTCTAAAACACATCCCTCTGGCATTCAGCCAGAGTTCATATCCCCAGTAAGAGTCATGAGACGATCAGAGGTTTGAACCCAAGGCATGGTTATTGCCATGGGCTCGGCCAAATGGCCAGAAATACAGGCTGGGTACTGACTGTCTGCATGCTGACCCACAACAACTGACAACAAAAAAACCAACCAAACAAAAATAATTAACTGGAAAATAAATCACTAGCAGAGCATGAAAGGGATAAGTAACAGACCACCACCCTTTCCCACAGCAGAAGGACCTGTTACTGAACGACAGCCTGCGCATCCTCACTCCCTGGCACAACTGACAGAGGTTGGGACTGCAGAGCCATACACTCCGGCATACCAGCTCCTCCTCCCTATTTTCAAACCCCATTGCATGCAAACATGTGCATCTACAAGCATATGCACGTGAATGGTAAATGCAGACAGACCACTCAAAGCAAAGACATCCAGCTTCACAAGGTTAGTTGAAGTTGGCAGATACTCCTGGGAGGATCTGAAAGGACAACAGTAAAAAAGCCAGAATTATATCTGACTTTTTAATCCCCAGAGAAAATTTGTCCTAATTTCAAATGAAAGTACTGAATAAAAGAAAAAAGCAGATAGAAGACTTGCTATCATAAAGACCAGAGAAAACTGGAGAAAGGAGGCACTTAAATATCTTCCCTCACAGATGTAAGGTAGTATTTGCTGAGGAAAAGAGCAAAGCCAATCTGTCCATCTATGTTAGTAATTATATATTAATTATCCAGAAATCAGAAAAAGTGTTCATGAGTGAGAATCTTTTTTCTGTTGCTGACACAGAAAAGAAAAAGCCTCCTAAAATAAGTGGTAGCAACAGCAGAGGGACAGGAAGATTTCTGAGTAGGAAAAAAAACCCAAAACATGTGAGCTTTTTAATGAGAGAGAAAAATAAACGAACAAACTTGTTACATACAAACCTATAAGCCTCAAGATAACGGTGACAGAACAGGCATGAATTGGCATTAGAGAGTGATGCTTTAGTACTGAAGTATCAACGTTTTTGTCTTTTACTTACATTCATGATGGTATTAATTTTAGAAACGGTTTCATCATCAGTTGGAAACTGGTATATCTGGACGCCATTACTAACTAATTCACTCATGATTTTGTTCTTGAACTTCTGTAGTTCGGTTTTAGAAATGCTGTCTGCTTTGCCTATAATTGGTATAATGTTCACCTATTAATGATACAAATTATATGAAATGTGTAAGACTTCCATTTTGAGGTGACATCTCTTATAAATTAAATTGTTTGGTGAGAAGCTCTTTAAAACCTTCCCCTGCAGTCCAAACTTTTCTATCAATTGATATCAAAGCTTCACAAACCATGAAAAATAGATTCACTGGCATCATTTAACAAAATAACAACAGATTATTTAATGTACTCCCTTAAAATTAATTGATTCTGAGAAAAGAACAAGGAAGGAGGTCTCATATAGTGAAGTACTCAAAAGAACAGCAACACCTCCTTATTAACTAAATGACATTATGTCTGCTAAAAAAATAGATTGTTTTAGTTTATAGCACTGGGGGGCATGCTTCAGGTGTTAAATGAAAGCTGACAGAATAAATACACAAAGAAAAGGAAGCTGGCTACCAAACCCTGCCTACCCCAGAGCTTCTTCCTTGGGTTCCTTGCAGCTACAACAGCTTGTTCCCTTCACCAAGTATCACTCAAGTATCTGCCGCGAGCAGAGGAATGACTAAGACTGAAGAATCTTGCTTACCAGTCTTTACACTAATTATTCAGAATTCAAAATTCAGTTCTATTAAGGTAACTTGCCCTATTTCCTAAAATAGTTATGACAGTAACTTAGTATTTTTAAGAAAAATTTGGCATCTACTACCTTCCTATCACCATTCCCAAAATACGCATTTTTCAGAACTAGATACAAAGAATTAATGTCCATGTCCAAATATTTTGGTATAACAATACCATTTTTCTAGATTTGAGAAGACTTGAGGGTTTTACAGATTTCCTTGATCATAGATGAAAAAAAAAGGGAAAAAAAAAAACCCACACCCATTCCTTTTATTTTTCTGAATGTTCTGTCTGAATGGAAATGCCTAAGCATGGAATCTCAAGAACAGATTCAAAATGGAAGTGTTTGAAATAAGTCTTCTCTCTGTCTTAAGCAAAATGTCCAAATTTAAAAAGCGCACCAACTCCAAAGTATGACTTCTAAGATTATCTGATGTTAGTCCTTAATTGCATAGCAAATTATTATTTATTATCAAATAAAATGCTAGAATATCCTGAGTTAATTTAGGATTGTATAAACAACCTATTACAGCTAGGAGTAATTCACAGCTTCAGTCAAATTAGCTGAGGGACATCAATTTAGGTTTTTTTAAAAACAGATGGAACACAGAGTCCTCACAATTACATCAATCTATATTCTGTCTTTTCAACATGAAAGTTTTCCAAGCACTCGTTAATTAGGAGAGAATTTCTTAGATAATGAATGGCAGAGAAAGACTACTGAGGAGACCAGTAACAATAGAAAAGCAAAATCACCAGAAACTCTGATTACAGTTATCAGCATTGATGTTAATTCACAGCCATTGTATTAAAATTTAAAAGCAACACTACTCTGGCTTTAGATAAGCAACGACAACAAAAGAATATCTTTGCTTAATTTGTTAAACAAAATTAATTTCTCTTCAGCATCTCAGGTTTATTTGAAAACTAGTATCCCGGTACTTTAATCCAAGAATAACATTAATTGAAAGCACACGTTTGTACTAACAAGAGACTTAAATTGAATTGATTTGGACCACCTATAGATGTGCACCAAGTCCCACTGCTCCCTCCTATGCCTACTACTCACTCAGAAACCAACTGGCTCCCTTCCAGCCTCTTCCCCAGCTACAACTCTCAACAACTGCAAAACTGAATTTTGCTACAAAGCCATAGGTCATTAATATAGAATCACTTTAACCCCTCCATAAAAAGTCTACACTTGCAATAAAACCAATAGTCCTGCCCTTCCCCCTGCCTGCAGCTGCTCATTGCCAGGTAGAACTAAAATCTGTGTAGCTGTCCAAAGAGACAGACACTTTTCAGCTTGATCAGTTCCCTAATCAAGCAAAAATCTTTAGGTTTCAATTTAAATCAGTTCCCTCATCCAGGGAACTGACTGCCCAAAACACTTAAGCATGCACAATGGAAAGAAGCAGCCGAGACTGCCTCATTCACTAGCAATGCAGAATGACCATACAAAGTCACCAGGATAAACTTTATCTGTGCACATTATTTCTCTGTTTGCTAGCACCAAATTCAGGCCTCTGATCATCCTTCTGCCTGAAATGCAAAGTGTCGCTCTCCCCTCCGCCAATTAGAAAACACACTATTACTCTAAATGAAGATTTTCATGTAACACTTACATTGTCAAAACATCTGTTTCCCCTTTATGTTATAGAGAAGGAAAAAAATACATATATTTGAAATTATTATTGGTTGATATCTTGTAGGCTGACTTAAGAGTATCTCTATGAACTAGTACAAAAATTTCCAAAGATTCTTTTTTAAGAAAAAAGATTATTTTTTAAGAAAAAAAGCCCTCAAACTCCAGAAGGTACACTCATGTAATTTCCTGATTTAACAGTAATCTGTATGTAATTCTGCAACAATGACTTGAAAATGCAGATGTATTAGTTGCATAATCACTAGTTCCCAGCAAGAAAGTATACAGAAGATTCCCTTGATCTGTGAATGAAACCTGGCTGGTCTGTAGTGATTCAGACCTAAGCAAAACTACAGGACTTTCCAATGTCTAAAAGCTAGGTGCCAAATTCTTATCCAGTCATCCAATTTATAAGCAATAGAGAAAAATTAATTACCAACAGATACGTCTGTTTTTTTCTCCCAGGATTACAGAGTATAGGATGACCCTATCCTATTCCAAGAACCCTCTTTCACCTCTGAGCTGTGTAATCTGGTCTTGTTTTGCACCAAGCAGACCGTAACAAAAGCATAATAGTGTATACTGTGGTGGATTTAGGAAGACACTGAAAACAACTTTTCACATAGATTTATACACTCGGTGTATGCATGTTGCTGTACCACCTTCTCTTCATGGAATCCTGTACTCCGCAAAAGTGCCCAGGGATTTCCACATCCTGGGAAATCCAAAGTTCTGAATTCTAGGAGAATGCAGTACTAAAAGCATCACAAACATGTTCTACAAGGAGATGGAAACCAAACTACAATTAAAGTACATACTTGTTTTTTGTGTGTGTATATATATATATTTCTGTAGTAAGATCAGAAAGCAGAATCCATTGCAAAGGCATAAAACAACAAAGTTACATGCTGTTCACGTTCTCCCTGAGCCAAAGCAGAACCAAAAATATTTAGAGTAGGTGGCTAGAAGCTAAAATCCGCCAAAGCAGAATTACTTTTGTTTTATCCTGATGAAAAAATATTTTCTCAAGATGCTGGGACTCATGGATCAATTTCCTTTTCTTGTGGAAGAAACACTGTGTTAAAGGGAGTTCAGTAAAGAGAAGGCACAACCTGGAAACCAAGTACCTTTGTGGTTTAACACAACCTTCAGCCCCAAAACTCAGAGGAGAACAATACGCTCCATGAAACTGTCCCATTTTCTAGTATCAAGGCTCTTTAGCTATCAGTGTGTATTACAGAGTAATTTCATAAACATTTTAATCTGGCATAAACCAACACTGTAGCAGAAAGAAGTGACCCTGCTCTCCCCTACTTATGTCCCACCCTACCACCCCCCAACTTGCTCTGTGCTATTGAGAAAGTTCAAAATGCAAACTACATCCACAAACAAAATTACAGAAATACCACATGTGCTCATCAATCCCAAATGTGGAATAGACAGCTGATTTGATCCTTGTTATCTTGAAGAAACATCTCACAAACAAGAAAATGCAGAAAGAAAATTTAGCAGGAGAGGCTCTAGTGAAGCACAAAGGAAAGGGCCAGAGGAACAGCAAATGCATTTAAATTTTCAAATTTCTCAAAATTTCAACAAATTATATCCAAATGATGTAAGGTTTTTTAAAACGGGTTAAACATTTAACTTCAGGCAGTTCACACATTCCTATTGCAGGAAGAAAGTTAAGAATTTAGAAAGTGCAAGTAATCACACTAGAAATTGATATTCAAACCAAATCAAGATGTAAAGTTTAAAATACTAATGCAGCCTATCTTAGAAAAAGCCATGCTGGTAGAGTGTTCTGTTCATGGCACTTGCCTCTTCAGTCATCTATAACAAAGATCTTCACAGTGCTGCAAAGCTTTTCACATGCCAGCTTTCCAGCAGTCCCAAAACTCCACAGTGAACTAGAAACAAGCTTAATTAGAAATATTACAGGACTCATGGAGGGTACTATCCAATCACAAGAAGATGTTAACAGTTTGTTAAAAGTAAAGTTGGTGTGGTTCTGTTTGTTTTTTTTTACTTTTGTTTTTAAACCTCATTGTGCTTTTTCAATGTTCTTGCGATGTCTGTCTGTCTCTGATTTGTAAATAAATAGTGATGAACTGCAAGCTACTTGCAAAACCAACTTATTCTGAACTTAAGGTATATCAGTACCAAAAAACATCCTAAAACCAAACACACAGATACAGAACTGAAAGGTGATAGAGGATCTAAAAGCTGCAGGATGCTTCAGAAAATAAGACAAACTCTTAGAACTCTGTTTCAAAGTCTTACCTTGCTGTCTAGGCTTTTCATGGTTAACAAATCTAGGGTTTTTAGTGAATGGCCTGTAGGTGAAATGAAATAGAGGCAGACATGGATGCGAGTATCATGGTAGCTAAATAAAGAACGTTTAATTTTCAGTTCTTCCTGGAGATAGGCTTCAAATTGTGCATCTATATAATCCACTATTGGCTGATAGCTGTAAGAAATAAAATTTAACAACCAGAGATTAGCTACTCCTAAACAGAGCCAGACTAGCAAAGGAATTCCCTTGTACTGTTTTGTGGATTTTTGCTTTAAATGTCAAAAGGCTGCTCAAGTATCTACCCAGTACAGCAGAAAATTAAATGTACAAAGTAATCTTAATTTCTAAAAGGCTACTCAAATAAAAAAGTGTGCACCTAATACAGATAAAACATTTCCTGGCTACTATTAGTGAAAAAAGCTACATGAAGTTAGTTATTATTATAACCAATCTTCCCAAGTGATGTTTTATAAATTTTTGCAATCAAGCTGTGCAACTGCAGAACTCTTAGATGCGAGGAAGATACAAGAAAGTCTTAGATACAATACAAGAAAAGAAAGAACATGCAATTACCAGTACCAAGAAATAGGACCTCCTTTATCTTCTGAAGATGAAGTACTGTACATGATAGAGCTCTTAAACAATAGACAAAAATTGAAAAGGAGGAATGTAAGAGAAGAATGCAAATCCGATTTGCAATAAGTACAGTTTAAGTATATTTTATCCTACTTACAACCAGAGATTATAATCTACTTTCTAAAAGAAAACGTTGCTAGATGTATAACCAGCATGCCCTTACCTTTCTGCTGCTATACAAAGATTATAAACCTGATCAAATGCTATCAAAATTCAGAAGTAGTTGTTACAGACAAAATTAAAAGAAGGACTAAAAGGCAGCTCCTATACCACACATCAAAACCTCTAATATTTATACTAATATCTACTTGCATCTCATTCATCCAAGTCACTAGCAGTAGCTGTTTTCTAGTCATATCATAAGTCATAGCTCTCATGATAATCTTAATGTGAACTCTCTAACCTTCATTTATTTATAATCACCACCATTCAGGCACTCACATGGCACAAAGAATTGCTAAAATTCTTTACAGTTAAGGTGAAAGAAACAAAATCTGCTGAGAGACAGTTTAATATTTTAATATCTTCAATACATAAAAGCAGAGACTCAAAAAAAGTTCTGAAAGACACTAGCATGGTACCTCTACATCTTCTGATTAAGCTGTCCAACATAAAAAACAAAGGCCTTCAGTAATCCATGTGATATTCCTTCCACTTTAAGGTCTTCAATATGTTCCAATCAAATTGTTAAAAACCCTGTAGATCTAATCTATATAATATACAGTACGTTATAAACTGTTTGGTTGTTTAAAGACCTTCTCCCTGCTTTCCTCCACCCCAAAAGAAACTCTAGTCACTACTGCACATCTTATTTACACACATTTATAAAAGATTATATCATAAAGAAAGGGGCAGAGTTCATCTGATTTCTCAAATAATTTCCTAGACAGGAAAAAAAAACAAGTTTATTTTGGTACACAGAGAAAGCAGTTAACCAAATATTTGGAACACATGTAAAACAAATATTTACTACAAAGCCCAAAGAAAAATCAACTTGCAATTGAAGACAAAGTTCTGCGTACCATAGCAACAAGAGGGCACTTACCTATCTTCTTTGTTTATCTGGTCACCAAATCCCACTGTATTTACGATGGTCAACTTCAAAAGAACATTACTTTCCTGGAGTTCGTAAGTCTGGGCTCTAAGTCTTACACTTGGCAGAAAATGAGTTGACACAGGGTCATCAAAATTGGTGTTAAACAAACTGTTTATCAAGGTTGATTTCCCACTTCCAGTTTCCCCTAAAGTTAAACAGAAGGGTTGGGGAAGACAGTTTGCACATCAAATAAATACCTGCTAAGCATGGAAAGTGTTATCACAGCAACGTGACAAATTTATGCAAAGACTTGCCAACTGATTTCTCGGAGCAAAATGGTTGCCTGCATTCCTTTTTCATAATCAGCACTAAATATATTTTAGTTATTTTTTTTCATCCTACAGATAAGAGAGAGTTACGTGATAATGAGCAATAAGTAGAACAGTCTCTTGACACTTTGGTTTCTTTAAAAGTGTGAACTAATTTCCTACAGATTTTAAAAACCTAAGTAGCTCTGAAAACATGGGGTTCAACACAGGGATTTTATGAATAAAGGTAAAATACTAGAGCAAACATTTCATAAGTATAGAAATATTTCAATAACACAACCTTGGAATTTTAGGATTTTTTTGATCTAAAGCTCTTTGTTACAGTAAAAATAGAGCATAGCCCAGTTTACCCAAAAGAATACAAGAAGCTGCCCAAAAATCAGTAAAGGCATAGCATCAATTTTCAACATTTTTGGTCTTCATATTGTTTATGAAAATGCTAAATATAAAAGCAAAGGATGGATACAAATAAGCAAAGCTGGGGGAAGGGGTGGAATGCTTAATATTAAAGAAAGAGTTTAACATTGCAATTGGATTTAGATTTCAATCTAAAAGACAGGTATACTACTAAAGCCTTAAACCACCCAGATATTACTTACCAATGCAAAGAATGTTGAAGCAGAAGCCCTGCTTGATGGATTTTTTAACCAGTTGATCAGGTAAACTACCAAAACCAACATGCCCGGACAAGGATAAAGTTCGATATCCATCATTTTGCTAGGGAAAAATAATTTAAAAATATGTTAACGAGGTGAGTTGCAAAGCAATTAGCAATGGCAACAAAGGAACTCTACTAGTAAGCTAGAACTCATTCCTTATGATTTACACGGAACCAAGAAAAGCAAAAGTCTGAAAAACTGATTTGTCAAATCAACTTTATTCCACGATTTGTGTGTTGGGTTTGCATGGCAAGGTTT